ATCTTCAAGTAAAATATTTTCGGGTGACACCCACCCTCCCTCCACACAAGCAATGCAGAAAAAAATTGATTCACGCCAATCGGATTTCATTATTCGTGCAGTAGAGTGATTTTGGTTGAGATACCTACGAGAGGATTAGACGAAACAATGAATTTGCAAAACACTCCCTCTTGAGCCGGTAAGTTGAGGCTGTTCTTTCTGGGACGCAGTGGACAGTTCGTCATCTTCAAGTAAAACGTTTTCGGGAAACACCGCCCTCCCACCACACAACAACTAGAAAAAAGAGGCTCGCCAGATTACGTGTAGTCAGCATTGACGCCTATGATGCTTTGGACTCGCGATCAGAACCTGTGGCAGAATTGCACGAAACAAATAATGATTCAAAATCTAAAAGAACTCCCTCTACCGATCCGCCGGGATTGAGCTCGTGTTAGACGCATCGCAGGATGATCGTCATCTTCAAGTAAAATATTTTCGGGTGACACCCACCCTCCCTCCACACAAGCAATGCAGAAAAAAAATTGATTCACGCCAATCGGATTTCACTATTCGTGCAGTAGAGTGATTTTGGTTGAGATACCTACGAGAGGATTAGACGAAACAATGGATTTGCAAAACACTCCCTCTTGAGCCGGTAAGTTGAGGCTGTTCTTTCTGGGACGCAGTGGACAATTCATCATCTTCAAGTAAAAACGTTTTCGGGAAACACCGCCCTCCCACCACACAACAACTAGAAAAGAGGCTCGCCAGATTACGTGTAGTCAGCATTGACGCCTATGATGCTTTGGACTCGCGATCAGAACCTGTGGCAGAATTAAACGAAACAATTAATGATTCAAAATCTAAAAGCACTCCCTCTACCGATCCGCTGGGATTGAGCTCGTGCTAAACGCATCGCAGGATGATCGTCATCTTCAAGTAAAATATTTTCGGGTGACACCCACCCTCCCTCCACACAAGCAATGCAGAAAAAAATTGATTCACGCCAATCGGATTTCATTATTCGTGCAGTAGATGATTTTGGTTGAGATACCTACGAGAGGATTAGACGAAACAATGAATTTGCAAAACACTCCCTCTTGAGCCGGTAAGTTGAGGCTGTTCTTTCTGGGACGCAGTGGACAGTTCGTCATCTTCAAGTAAAAACGTTTTCGGGAAACACCGCCCTCCCACCACACAACAACTAGAAAAGAGGCTCGCCAGATTACGTGTAGTCAGCATTGACGCCTATGATGCTTTGGACTCGCGATCAGAACCTGTGGCAAAATTAAACGAAACAAATAATGATTCAAAGTCTAAAAGACTCCCTCTACCGATCCGTTGGGATTGAGCTCGTGCTAGACGCATCGCAGGATGATCGTCATCTTCAAGTAAAATATTTTCGGGTGACACCCACCCTCCCTCCACACAAGCAATGCAGAAAAAAAATTGATTCACGCCAATCGGATTTCACTATTCGTGCAGTAGAGTGATTTTGGTTGAGATACCTACGAGAGGATTAGACGAAACAATGAATTTGCAAAACACTCCCTCTTGAGCTGGTAAGTTGAGGCTGTTCTTTCTGGGACGCAGTGGACAGTTCGTCATCTTCAAGTAAAAACGTTTTCGGGAAACACCGCCCTCCCACCACACAACAACTAGAAAAGAGGCTCGCCAGATTACGTGTAGTCAGCATTGACGCCTATGATGCTTTGGACTCGCGATCAGAACCTGTGGCAGAATTAAACGAAACAATTAATGATTCAAAATCTAAAAGCACTCCCTCTACCGATCCGTTGGGATTGAGCTCGTGCTAGACGCATCGCAGGATGATCGTCATCTTCAAGTAAAATATTTTCGGGTGACACCCACCCTCCCTCCACACAAGCAATGCAGAAAAAAATTGATTCACGCCAATCGGATTTCATTATTCGTGCAGTAGAGTGATTTTGGTTGAGATACCTACGAGAGGATTAGACGAAACAATGAATTTGCAAAACACTCCCTCTTGAGCCGGTAAGTTGAGGCTGTTCTTTCTGGGACGCAGTGGACAGTTCGTCATCTTCAAGTAAAACGTTTTCGGGAAACACCGCCCTCCCACCACACAACAACTAGAAAAGAGGCTCGCCAGATTACGTGTAGTCAGCATTGACGCCTATGATGCTTTGGACTCGCGATCAGAACCTGTGGCAGAATTAAACGAAACAAATAATGATTCAAAATCTAAAAGCACTCCCTCTACCGATCCGCCGGGATTGAGCTCGTGTTAGACGCATCGCAGGATGATCGTCATCTTCAAGTAAAATATTTTCGGGTGACACCCACCCTCCCTCCACACAAGCAATGCAGAAAAAAATTGATTCACGCCAATCGGATTTCATTATTCGTGCAGTAGAGTGATTTTGGTTGAGATACCTACGAGAGGATTAGACGAAACAATGAATTTGCAAAACACTCCCTCTTGAGCCGGTAAGTTGAGGCTGTTCTTTCTGGGACGCAGTGGACAGTTCGTCATCTTCAAGTAAAAACGTTTTCGGGAAACACCGCCCTCCCACCACACAACAACTAGAAAAGAGGCTCGCCAGATTACGTGTAGTCAGCATTGACTCCTATGATGCTTTGGACTCGCGATCAGAACCTGTGGCAGAATTAAACGAAACAATTAATGATTCAAAATCTAAAAGCACTCCCTCTACCGATCCGTTGGGATTGAGCTCGTGCTAGACGCATCGCAGGATGATCGTCATCTTCAAGTAAAATATTTTCGGGTGACACCCACCCTCCCTCCACACAAGCAATGCAGAAAAAAATTGATTCACGCCAATCGGATTTCATTATTCGTGCAGTAGAGTGATTTTGGTTGAGATAACTACGAGAGGATTAGACGGAACAATGAATTTGCAAAACACTCCCTCTTGAGCCGGTAAGTTGAGGCTGTTCTTTCTGGGACGCAGTGGACAGTTCGTCATCTTCAAGTAAAACATTTTCGGGAAACACCACCCTCCTTCCACACAACAACTAGAAAAGAGGCTCGCCAGATTACGTGTGCTCAGCATTGCCAGCATGTAATAGTTTGCGGTCGCATCGCTATCTAACTCAGAGCTGATGAGTAAACTAGAGATTCTTGCCGATGGAAGAAAGATTGTTGACGCCATTGAAAAGGCAGGCTTCGTTTGATGGTACACTCAACCTCACTCTCGTCCAAGCAAATTTCAGAGCACGTCGTCTTGACGCCACTACCACTTTCTTGCCATTGGCGAATGAGCTTACTGCACTTCGAAATCGAGCCGCCTCTCATCTTCAGAGGACACTGACCAGAATAATATCAATACTTCTACTTTCACGACTGAAAATGACCCATTATAATCAATACAGCATCCCCTATTTGCAATTCCTATGTGCCACACTGACAGCATATAGAATTCCTCAACCACAACTACAGTGGTAATTCCTACCTTTTAAAATTCAACTGCCCATGAGCCGCATTGAACACCAACGCGCGGGGGAGGGTCGGAAACGGGTCCCGTACGCTACAGGCTTGTTATTAGGTTGTCAAGAAAATAATGTCGTTTTTTTTTTCGTGTAAAATTGATATTCATCGAGAACTAGAGCATATCCAAGGCCGGAATTTTATGGTTAAGGTTACGAAGATTTGTCACAAAGGCATTTTTGGGAGGGGCCCCGTACTACTAGAGGCGGAGTCCGCCGTCTTCCATTTCTAATTTTTTCTTGGTTTCTAAGCATGGAAAAAATATAGCAATTGTAGCTATGGATAAGTGCATCTGTCCTTTACAAGCAGGAGCAAGTGAGAAGTTCGCAGGGTTTACTAAGGCGAAAATCCAATATTTCGCACCACGAGTTGCTCGTATATTTTGACTCTGAACTTTGCGTGAACAACAAGTTCTGCCAATGTTCAGATGTCATCTTGTAGAGCTTCCTTTGCTCTATAGAATGGTACCCTTATATAGTTTTTTGTATCTGTCTTAAGGCTTTGCTATAAAAACGACACTATTTTCTTGACAACCTAATACAAGCGATAATGAGCGAGCGGCTTTCACGTATATTTTTATTAGCTTATGAGGAAAGTTCTGGTCAAAATATACTCCACGTTTCTAAAACGACATGGAAGTTGATGAGAAATTTTTTGAAAAACAGTGAACGCTACAGCCGTTCATGGCGACCGCTCGCTTACGCTTTAGTCAGAAACGGCGCGAGCAATTAGGTTTTACAAGGCTTATACCTTCAGAGACAGTTTGCACCTTATTACCATACCGTACTACTATTCAGATGCAACACACAAATGACTGATGTTTGTTATATATACACATTGACCAGCACGACTGCAACTTATTGTCAAGTTCTTATGGATACCATAGCATTATGTCTTACCTAACCCGACCATTTGTTAGGAACAGCACCTCCAAGAATCTCGATAATAATCACTCGAGATATGCGATGCCATAGGATTCTCAAAGACGGACTACAACAATGGTAAGCCGCACTGATTATCTTGAACAAAGCGAATTCCATTAACCTAGAAGGTCTGCAGTCTCAATTCTCACACTTGGTGTTGATCAAACCGATTATCTTAATGAGTTACGTGTCCCACTCAAAAACTTATCTATGACACGCAACTTGCCTATGGTTTCGATGCAGGGCCACGACGTAATTTCGACATCGCCCACTCAACAGATACCTCAGCTTACGTAATTGTGGATGACTCGACCACGTCTGATCTGCAAATAGTTTAAACATCCCTCAGGGAAGTTTAAACTGACAACACAACAAAACCCTATGAATGGAAATGATTAGGGAACAAACTGGTTCCATTTGGTAGAACGTGAGCAACTGTTGCTATCGTGCTCGACAATGGCCTGAATCGTACTGAAATTCGACGTTGTCAACGCGCCAACTGCATATAACATCAAAACATCAACAAGCCTAACAACTCTTCAGCATGGTGGTCAACATTTTCCCGAATCTTCTTCTCTCTTCCTAGAATGCATGTGCTGTAAACGATATAATTGATACCAATTTATTTCACATCTTACAACAATATATACAAACCCATCTAGCACTACCCGCAAAATCGATATGTGAACTCTAAAAAATCTGCGTACGAGATGGGAACAAAAAAATAACAAATAACGACACTTGACCAGTCATCCTGAGCAGGATCGCCGTTGGGTCATGAGGTGGCTGAATCGCTGAGGTACAGATTTCTGATCTAAAGCCAAAGAAAATGGAACACTACAATATGATCAAATTTCACACTAAGTTTGCGATTAACCTCTAACGTTCACCGAACGTCCACAAACACGGACAAAGAAGTCATCGAGGCCGAATGGGTCCTCGTCCTCGTTTCGACAGCATCGCTTGCTGGGGGGTTCACCATGATTAGGATTCTGAACGATAGGTTCAACTCGAGTAATAGGAGCCCCTGAGGGCTCAGCATCACCCTTGTTTTGCCTAACGCTTCGCTTACCGCCGCGTTTGCGGCGACGAGCTCTACGCTCACCCAAATGCTTACACAAAGACTGGATGAAGCCGGTGTGGAGCAGCTCACGTCGATAGTCACGTTCCTTCTGGCCAAACAACGCACGTCGCTTCTGGATCGCAATAGCTAGCAACTTCGTCGGCGACGTCTCCATTTGAACACAGTCATCTTCGCTTGACGATGAGCTTGGAGAAGAAGAATAAGCATGAATGTGCATCTTCAACACGATATGGGTAGACGGGAAAGAACGCACGATACAAACCAAATGTAATGGCGACCGCACGCTCACAGCAATGAGGGCTGAATGATTCTCCCCCCTGCCACGCCCTCCTCTATATGCCCGACCGCGGTCGCAGCAAAATTCATCCGCCCCCCTAGCGCGACGATGAGCGCGCGCTGAACTTGCCGAGACTGTTTCTCACATATTTGGCGGGAAAAACGCTGAAATCCATGGAAATCTTCTAGTCGCTATCCGGGACTATCTGATCTACCCAGAATGTAGTGATTATCCGAACGATGAGGAAAAGTCGATAACAAGGGGCCGAAGTCACGCGGATGGGAAACCGCGTCGCACGCCCTTGCATTTTCGAAAATATCGATCTGACGGCGTCAGGGACAAGGATGCTGACTAATATACGAAAACTAATTTCGAATTGGAATGTCTATGGTAACAAAAGAAACCCTCACTGCGAAGACGAAGATGAGCAAGATTTTAGGAGAATTCTATGTATTTATGCTGCTGCCAAAAGGAAATAACCCGTAAAACGGTCGAATGTTCAGACAACCAGCTTTATAGCGCTGAACTCTATTCCCAACTAGCTCAGAGCCACAGTAAGGTCAATCACAGCCGCTCTTCAGCTCGGCTGTTTGAGCTTTCACATATAATTCCACGTCTACAGGGACTTACAACACATAGCCCGTCAGCGATGCCAGGGCCGATAAACAACCAAAGTTGTAGCAAGGTTGTGATACAGAGTTTCGACCGTTGACCGTTGAAACGTTCAGGATTGTTAGCGAGCCATATGTCTGAGTCAAAAGCATCTAGCAACTCCGGAAATTGGTGTGATATAAATAATGCGTTGCGTTTTTCTTCCCGACTACATTTTCTTCCGTCCTCCCAAACTATTCTTTTTTCTTTCATAAAGTCCATCCCAGAGGCTTCTCGTTGCTGTTTCTATCCAAACACCATCGACCACTTATCGATTCACCTATCTCGCAAACAGGGCAAGTCGCATGACGCATCACAAGGCCGCCAGCTGCTGCCGGTTCGGCGGGGCCCCGTCGCACCGCCGAGGCTGAGCACGACGATATCGATCGGAACGGGGACCGAGTGGATTGAGTAGAGTGCTACGCATTTCGAAAGACCTGTCTGTCTCAAAGATCTCTACAGCTCTGAGCCGAAGGCAATCAACAACTCTATGTCTATGTGCAGCTAGGGGTTTGCTTAAAAATACATGACGAAAGCTTGCAAATACTCGGAAATACCCTGCTTTAGGCACTAACTTTAGAAAGGTGATTGGTTCATCAATCATCTAACATAAGTTCCATCTTGAGCTGTGATCTTGACGTCTATTCAAGAAAGTGGTTCAGTTACATATGTTCGAATTTCTAGACTTCGACGAAGGCGATAAGGCTAAGGCCTAAGGCATACCTCGCGCGATTCCGGTCGCTGCGCGATTTGGCATAACAGCGACTCTTTGTAATTCGTTGTTAATGCGCTTCCTTTGGTCAGGACTTGACCCATTTGCAACAACTTACACAAGCTACCCGCCTATGCGTTCGAGAAGCGCACAAGATAAATCTTTGGAAATCTGGCAAATCGCCAAGTGCGTGAAAGTGGCGATTTGGACGAATCGTGTCAGGTATGCCTTAGGCCTAAAATGTTGGCCAATAGGCTACATACTACCTTCTTAGGTCATCTATATGGTGACTGGAGGAGCCAGGTCTAAAGTGAGATCTTTAGAGCTCTAACAAGAAGTTATGGTCCCAACTAAGAAAACTCATCGGTAGGGATCCATAAATCTAGAAAACGATTATCGCTTACGGATCTCCTAGCCGTCACAAAAGCTGTCAGCCTTGTAACGCAACTCAAAACGTCGTAATGCATATGAAGTTCAAACGATAATCTTGAATATCCCAGTTATGCTGGAAATTTTGAAGGGTTAGGATGTTTCCTACTTCAGCTATTACCAATCCAGTGCTCACTCACTGATCAGTACAGTAAGACTTTGTTGAGAAAACCATGGTGACATGCACACTTTCGTTAATTTGTTATCGACAAGACTGTTTTGATCAAAACGATTGCACAAATAATTTCACTCTTATCATTCCTGTTTATGACGTCAACTCAATGACGAAGCCGGCTGACAACCTGCGTCATTCACACACCACTGACACAGTTTCACTTTCGTATATCAGAATGCCCCCTGGTAATTTGCCCTTAGCTGACCAATCGCAGACGTTTGGTTCAATTCATGAGGTCACTTTTATGCCCTTACGACCACAAAAATGACCTTACGAGTGTTCGTGTGGCGTTAGGACAAGACTGGTACGGCGTGCATACATGGTCCAAAAAACTCTCGCATTCGCATAACAGCATGACTAAGGGGTATGTTTCGTAATTCTATAAAAAGCAAACGGAGCTCCTGCTACCGTCGCAAACTGGTTTCTTTGTATTCGCAGCGCGCACTCAGCCTCATACAGCGTTCGTAATGCGGATTGGGGGACCAAAATGCGCACTATCTCGCATTCGCACTATGAAATGAACATGTACGAGGGTATTGTAAGAACCGTAGATATATTCGCAGACGGAAGTAAGATAAGAAGCCGATATCACTTGGTCAGTGTTGAGCGGCTGTTTTGTGCATTTTTCTAGTAGTGACTTGGGCATGAAAGTGTAATGCGCTAGTTTGATTCATACTCGAATGAATAACTGGTAAATGGATAACACTATTGCATACTCAAATTTCTCAAGGCTTTCGAAACCAGTGTAGTGAGTGGGGGAGGAGGGGGGGGGGAAGGAAGGAAACCTTACCTGTTTTCTAACCACTAATTGCGGGCAAGTTGACAACTAGGTCATGACCTTGTCCGATTAGCTCTGAAGGCTCCAAGGAAGTAATGACACTCAACGGAGGAGTATCAAAATTATAGGTTTTGGGTTGAAAGTATGCTAATTCTATAAGACTTTCTATACATCCCACTCATTTTAGCTTATTCGTACTGACCAAAACTTGGAGAAAGCAAAATTCTATGTGCAGCTGACAATAAAACGCATTACAGGAAGAGAACAGTTGGCGAGCAATAATTAATGAGAACTAAGAAGCAGAGGAATGGGAAAAAAGATGGTGATAATGGACGCTTTTGCAAGTCGTGTGAAAAAGTAGCAATTTGAGCAAATGCATTCTGAGTAAGAAGTGGAACAGATGTTGGCTGACTTTTTGCTCGAAGGATTGTTAATGTTAGACAAAGATTGTCAAGAAAATAAAGAGTAAAATGTGACTTAGACCCAGGTGCACCTTACAGCTAGATTTACGATCAACCAAATCGCTGATAATCTCTTTTTTGAAGAACTTTCTATTTGTCCCATCACGTATACAGCAGAAATGTAATACAAATGAACTCACCATTCTCCTCATTCCACATCATAGCGGCATGATCGCATTGGATAGGCGCACTTTCCATTCACAACACAACCGAACTGAAAAACTGATATTAACTCATGTTCGAAAATGGACTGAACTACCTCCACGAATGTTGCAACCACCACACAGCCATGACAACGCGAAACTGACTCACTCCAGGGTAAAATTGGAACATGTGAAGAAACACGTTACAACATCCGACATGCTTAATCTTGTTCGAACATGCCCTTACATGGAACCATTGACATCTGAAAACCATTGAGGGAATTGATGCCTGTTGAAACCTGCTATAACGTGTTCAAAGAAGATTGCTATGTGAAGAAGCTTTAACACAGGGACAGTAAGGAAAAGGAAACTTTGCCTCAGAAGCAAGCACATATTCAGAAACCTCATGCAAAAGTCAACTCTCATAGATCATCTTCTGAGCTTGTCGAACCCAGCCAGGCTCCTCAAATAACATGACTAATTAAATCAAAAAGCTCATTGCATATTTCAACAATTTCGAATTTTGTTCAATGAACTGGGTGGAGGACTATACTCAGACACTCGCTGCGGCGGCGCGCGCGCCTTATGCGTGCGGCCCCTCATGTCCCCCGCCGCTGGCCGTCAAATGGCGCGCGTGCCGCGAGTAACTGGAACGCGCGCCGCGAGTAGATGGCACGCGCGCCGCGAGTAGATGGAACGCGCGCCACACGATAATGGCACGCCGCTCGCACGGCATAAGCACTGCGAATCACGGTGAATCTGTAGTAGACCTGTTGACAACCTTCAATTTCAGGCAAACAATGGCTTCAATTTCAAATATGAACTTGGAAGTTTCCAAACCTTGAATTTGAAAATTCAAATTTCAAAATTTCGAGAATTCAAATTTTCAAATTTGAATTCAAACTCGGCGCCTACTCGCAGTGCTTATGAAGACTAACTCTCAATGGAAGAACTGGAAGAATCCCACTTGTGTTAATGAGACAACTCCATTGCGAAACAGCGATAACCTCAATGTAGCGATAAAGCACCCAAAACACTGCGTCGTACTTCACGCGGGTATCGTTTGTGCTTACAGCGTGTGGGAATGCGGAAAATATCATGGCACGCGGCTCACTGATAAATTGTGCGCCGCTCGCACTCTCAACTAGGGCGCACCGTTCGCGATACAGTGCTGTAATGGCGCGCCCGCCGCCGCGCCGAGTGTCGAGTAGGCGCGCCGGCGGCCGTAATAAGGCGCGCCGCTCGCTGACTGCGAATGATGGCGCGCCGCTCGCACTGAAGCCTCAACTATGGCGCGCCGCTCGCACTGCTGCTTCAACCAAAGCGCGCCGCTCGCACGGCAGCCTCAAATAGCCTCAAATAGGGCGCGCCGCTCGCACTGTAGCGCTATTATGGCGCGCCCGCCGCCGCAGCGAGTGTCTGAGTATGTCGCCGAAAAAGGGCGGTCCCCGCGGTCATTTGTGACAAATACGCACCCTTGTACATGCGCGGACATGCGCTCCTGCAGGGAATCCGCCCGGGACTCTTCCAAATTCGGCGACATATAGTCCTCCACCCCAATGAACTAAACTAACTTTGGCGTCCTCGCGAAGTTACAGTCGTACAACGGCGCGAAACTCGAAATGGATGGATGAGATGTGATCGAAAAAGGTTGTCGCTCGTAAAGGTGCACTCAAGAAGCAGTTTAGTGCCTGAATCTTCTTAAACGATCTAACAGATGTTGAATCTTGATTGAAGGTCCAAGAGCAATACCCTGTCGATTCGTGGGAGTTTGTGAGTTATCCACAAATGAAATGATAATCAACTAACTAGCACTATTTCTATCGAATTAATGAGAGAGAAAGGCAGGACTGAGCGCCCGAATACTTTTTGCTACACTGAAGTATATGTGGCTACAAGCGAAATGAACCCTTCGACAAATGGTAATTTTATGGGTTCAAATCGAAATGCGCCTATTTATAGAGCCAATGGGATCACCGATAAACAAGTCTCGTGATTATTGGTTGACCTATAGCAGCCCTATAAACACTATTTCAAAGATCAGTAGTGCAATCCCTTTCGAGCTCTATAGACTTGGTTCATTCACTTCTATCTGACCTTTCAAGTGCTTTGTAGAATTGTTCTGCTGCAAAAAGCTGCCTCTTGTATGAGTGTCAGGCCCTCCAGCAATCTCTGACACGAAGGCTATAACCGAACCCATAATTTTGTGACCTAAGTGCTCTTTCGCAGCATTTGAGTGTCATTATGCGCCACCTGAGGTATTACGTTCCCAATGTGGTCTGTGAAACTTATTACGGCCAATAAAAAACTATGGTTTAGATTGTGAGGGGTCTTATATTTGGCTGGTGTTAGCAAAAGACCGTGTAATTATCCGAATCAACCAAGCTTTTATGTGGAAGTTAATGATGGTGATGT